GCCTTCAGTGCCCTATTAAATTGCTTTTGGGTGAAAAGAATGTTTCGATTTCTTTGACCATCATGGCGATGTTATTACCTCAAATCTTAAACGTGCGCATATGAAAAACGTGGCCCAGCACACACTACAAAAATAATATTAAGATTATCATGCCGTAGGAGCACATCACCTAATTGTGAACTAGTGATCACCTGAACTTACTTTATCAGTAGGCTAATTATTATTTATAACAGGCTGTGTTACGACTATTTGACCAACTGCCACTTCATGTAAAACACTCTCATGCACTCAGAACTAATGGCAGTTATGAATTAAATAAATAGGCATATCCGCACGCAAAGTGAGCGGCTTATTATTTATCGTCTGTTCATTTTCTTTGTTCATTTCTCTTTCACGCGCATGCAGAAAAGGTAATCTGCTTGTTTAAAAAAGCGCATTATGTCCACTAATGTCAAAGTTGAAGTCAGCTTTATTGTCAATTCAAACCACATGTAGAGGACATATAGAAAATCGAAATTACGTTACTCCCAGACCCTAGGTGCCTAACATGTAATATTAATACAAAAAGTTGAGTTTTAAAAAAGAATTTACAATAAATACAATTATGCATAAAATGTAGCCTAAAGATATAAATAAAACGTAGTCTAAAGAATAAAAAAGAACACAAATTTGTAAACAATACAATACAATACAATGTCATTCATTTATTTTCTTGTCGGCTTAGTCCCTTTATTAATCCGGGGTCGCCACAGCGGAATGAACCGCCAACTCATCCAGCAAGTTTTGACGCAGCGGATGCCCTTCCAGCTGCAACCCATCTCTGGGAAACTGAGTTAATTCACATACACTCATACACACACACACTCATACACTACGGACAATTCAGCCTACCCAATTCACCTGTACTGCATGTCTTTGGATTGTGGGGGAAACCGGAGCACCCGGGAGGAAACCCACGCGAACGCAGTGAGAACATGCAATCTCCACACAGAAATGCCAACTAAGCCGAGGCTCGAACCAGCGACCTTCTTGCTGTGAGGCAACAGCACTACCTACTGCGCCACTGCTTCGCCCCAATACAATGTAATGTATAACAATAATAATAATAATCATAA